TCAGAAGATACTTCAGGAGCACCTGGTGCGGTTGATTGACCACCAACATCAATGATAGTTGCTCCGAATCCAATCAATTGTGAGGAGTTGGCTCGTAGAAAATTTCGCTCATTGAGATTTTCGCCCCCATCGGAGAAAGAGTCGGGTGTCATATTCAGAATTGCCATTACATGGGTCTGGCGGTTCTTTTTAAGAGCATACAATGAACCAATGGATGGATGTAATGGAGTTATGGTAGATAAAGGGGTCGGGGATGGCGGCAATTCATTTAGATAATCCTGGGTAAACTTCCATGGAGTTTTCGGATCCAAAGGTTTTCCAGGAATAAGCCTATAACCATATCAGCGACAATTAGTCAACAGAATTGAGGGCTCTTAATTACTCTGCCAGTGGTCTCAAAACAAACTCCCGCTCAACCATACCAGGATGAGGTATTTGTAACCTTGGGTGATCTACAACCTCATTTTCGTAAAGTAGAATGTCAAGGTCAATGTTTCTTGGTCCTTTGTCAATAATCTTCATTCGACCCATCTCATTCTCAATTGCTTGAAGCTCGTTTAATAGAGCAATCGGTTCCAAGGTTGTTTCTACCTATAGATCCCTATTAGCTAGATTTCTTGAAATCTTTGGGATTTTGATGAACCTGTTTCATCTAACCTTGGACTTGACATTGAAAAGTGCGGCTGATCAATAACCGCAATCATGATGATTACCTTTCAAACTTGGTAGACATGTACAATTCCAAAAGTACAATATGTATAATCACGTGGTATAAATTGACACCAAGTCAATGCGAAAGAGGAACTCACCTCACAAGCACCATTTAAGAAATTCTCTTGATCAAGAACGTACATGGGTTCAGTTTCCCATAAACCACTCGTTCTCTTGACTTTGATGCCCCTCTCGGACATTTTGTTGCAAGCCATTTCGATCCATCCTACTCGATCACCAAGGTTACTACCCAAAGCAATATATGCAAGTCGAGGTTGACTTTGCGATTTGGAAAGCTGTGTCACATCATTTTCACTAGGTGAATTGGTATTAAGAGGATGTTGAGTCCATGGAAGTGGTGATGAGACTGCACTGTCGGAGCTATAGCTTCGAGATGTCAAAGATGCGAAGCTCTTGGCTTTACACACTGCCTGGAAAGGTCTTTTGATAAACGGTCGTGGTAAATTCACACTCCGACTCACCACGGATGATAATAGAGAGCCCCTCATCGGTGTAGTGTTCTCTCTTCCTTGGAGATATAGATCATCGAATCAAATGAAGAAACTTGAAGTTTGAAAGAAGCAGCTTTGTTGATAGTGGTCGAATGGGTTACCGTATTCGCGGACCACGGCGCATTTTGAAAGTTCTAAAGATAATGTATTGTGATCAACCATGATATTCATTCTTGAGCCGAGAACCTTATAGCCTGCAGTTGTATACGGAGGACACCAGAAGTTTAATAGGAGATACATATTGAATCGTCATGCTTGAAGATTATATAAACCAACATCAATTCAAAAATAGAAGTAATCATTTCATACATTCAATTCCGTTTCCATTCAACAACATGGCGCATACTGGAAACATCGCACGTGCATGCATGCAGGTCCAAGAAAAGGCTAACCCGACGCTAACAATCAAACCGAGGCATCTTTTTATTACACCGGGTTTTTACCCCAGATGAATCCATTCTTTTTTGAGGATCAAGTGTTCCGAGGTCTGTAAGAATCTCCTCAAATAATCCACCTGTTCTTCTTTCACAGCATATTGCTCTTCACTATTGATTGATCGTTTTTCAAATCTCATATCTTCATCTCATAATATATTACACAGAGCCATATCATTATAAACAAGAATATAGCAACCATGGCTTCTAAACGTAAGTAACCAGCCATCACATGCCAGCTAGGAAAGAAACAATGCCAAATAGAAGGAATCAACAACTGACTGGCCTTCCCTATAGAACAACTCCGCACAACGGTCACTGATCTTCTTAAGATCAACCATCCTATCATCCTCGCTGGAATGAACGTTGCTGCCGGACCCAAACTCGCAGCTGCTGTAACAAATGCCGGTGGTCTCGGCGTTCTAGGAGGTATCGGATACACTCCAGATATGTTAAGAGAGCAAATCGCGGAACTCAAGTCATTTTTGGACGATCAAAACGCTCCTTTTGGTGTTGATCTCTTACTCCCACAAGTTGGAGGATCTGCGAGAAAGACAAAGTAAGTTTGAGCTATATTTCTTTCCTTCTCCTTTGCTACCAATTTCTCTGCTACCCCCTCTCAGATTAATACATAGTTGCTGACATAGTTTTCTCCTAGCTACGATTATACCAAAGGAAAATTAGACGAGCTCATTACCATTATCATCGAGAGCGGCGCCAAACTCTTTGTTTCCGCCGTCGGTGTACCACCAAAACATGTCGTTGAACGGCTACACAAAGCTGGTATTCTTTATGCCAACATGATCGGACACCCAAAACATGTTAAGAAATGCCTCGACCTCGGTGTTGATATTATTTGCGCACAAGGTGGAGAGGGTGGTGGACACACCGGAGACGTTCCTACAACTGTCTTGATCCCAGCAGTTGTCGACCTCTGCAAGGGAAAGACCAGTCCAATGACTGGAAAGCCTGTTCAAGTTGTCGCCGCCGGAGGTATTTTCAACGGGGCAACTGTTGCCGCAGCTTTAATGTTGGGCGCAAGTGCCGTGTGGGTTGGTACCAGATTCATCTTGACCGATGAGGCCGGTGCACCAAAGGCTCACCAAGAGGCTGTGAGAACCGCTGGTCATGATGACAATGTTCGAACTATCATCTTCACTGGTAGACCATTACGGGTACGAACCAACAGTTATATTCAGAACTGGGAAGAGAACCGTGCTGCCGAGATCAAAGAACTCACATCCAAGGGTGTTATTCCAGTTGAACATGATTTCGAGACTCTCGGTGATGATATTGATGATGAGACTATGGATAACGCACGACCTTTCTTGATGGGCAAAGCGGCTGCTGTTGTCAATGAGAAGAAGAGTGCCAAGGCCGTTGTTGATGAATTGGTCAGCGATGCCGTAGCATGCATTCACAAGGGGGAGAAATTGACAGCAAAGTTGTAAATAATTGTATTCATTGATATGATGGAACAATGGACGGAGTTGATGAGGTCGATATCATGGGATGATTCGCGTGAAGGCACGTTGGATCAAGGTGGCTGACTCGGCTACGAATGGGGTGATGAGCACTCGATTATCTTAGACTGCATAGCGTGGTAATTGAGTAGCTAGTATTGTATTTGCATCAAGGATTTGGGCAGAAGGGGGAATTGAAATTTTTGAGACATCGGATCGCAAGGGAATTGAGTTTGATATATCTATCTATTTGCGATTACAATAACATGGAGCTTTTATTATTTCAACAATAATGATTGTACTGTGTGTGCTGTGTGTGGTTGCGGAAGATGTTTGTTCGGGATGCAAATAATTCAACTCTCTCTACCTATTAATCACTTCATATGGGTAACCACGTGCGAATTTTGTGCGAATTATAGATTATTGTATTCGGATGACATCGAAGTAGACCTATCACCTATATCATGAAATCTACGATAGATGGCTAATAAGTATATCAAATCTAATAAGTACCATATCCGACCGTACGATCTCATGTACTGAATCCTTCACCGACGCACTGATGGTAAGATTGTAGGTAGATAGGTGGATAGGTGAGTAGATAGTTTTGAGAAATTGAAACGTCCTAGAAACACATTGGTATCACGTCCGAGGTGATCTGATCTGATCTCTGATTTGATGTGATGTGATTCATGATAGAGATTGATGATAAAGTAATAATCGGCTGCTTGGAAAAGCTGACTATCGATATCTTTTCTAGCTATTGATGAACGAATGGATGTATTCCTACCGACACTACCTTGGTGGCTAGGTCACCCGCATATAAACGAGGGTAGGCCAAAGTTAGATGTGCAACAATTGACAACGAAGGAATGTGATGGGAATATCATGTGATTGTTATTGTGGTTGTGATTCCATAAGAACCTACCTAGGTCCTAGGTAGAGATAGATACTATGTACTAGGTAAGTTCACGGATACCGATAACTCGATGATTTTTCAGATGAAGATTTTTGCTTACGACTGGAAAAGGCCACAAAGCTAATGGCCGATCGATGGCTATGTAGTATGCAGTGTGTATAAGCAGTATGTATAAGTACTGGTGATCGTATCTACTACCTATCTACCTAGTACGAGTATGTATGATTTCAAATATCGATGATGACTACTCTTCTGCCATACACATTCCAAGAAATTACGTATCTCGAAGACTTTTCTTTGTATAGTCTATTATCTATTATCTACTATTTACCATCTATCATTTACTATTTACTATCTATTATTTACTATTTATCATTTATTATTTACTATTTATTATTTATTATTTACTATTTATTATTTATTATCTATTATTTACTATTTACTATCTACTATTTATTATTTATTATTTACTATTTATTATTTATTATCTATTATTTACTATTTACTATCTACTATTTATTATTTATTATTTATTATTTACTATTTATTATCTACTATCTATTATCTATTATCTATCATCTACCATTTACTATCTACCATCTACCATCTACCATCTACCATCTACCATCTACCATCTACTCCCTACAAATGAAGTTTACGGACAAAAAGTATGCAAACCCCATCACTCCATCCATCACTCCATCCATCACTCCATCACTCACTCCAGTTTTATTCTCCCCATCCCCCCACGGCATTGGTTGGATCAAACTTCAAAGCCATTCAAGCAAAAGATGGCAGGGCCGGACAAGGTCATCACGGATCCACCCATCCTCCGGCTGACTTAATGTAATGGGCAACTATGACGTTTAGCGTGTATCGCAAAATTGAACATGGAGATTCTCTGACCTTGCTTGGCCGGCTGGTAAAGAACAAAATGTAGGTAGCTAAAATGCGCGAGGTGTGCTTAGACTTTTTGATTTTTTCTTTTCTTCTCTTTGCTTTTATCTTTTGTCCTCCTGTCCCGTCGTATCTTGTCTTTTTAAATAAATCTGGATAACCTCAATTGTTCCAATAAAGAGTCTTCGGTCTATCATTGAAGGGTGGAACTTGAGAAGTTGCTTTACTTGCTCGTGCTCCCATTTCATATACACATCATCTCACCCGCCAACATCGAAGCGCCTTCTTGTGTTGGTTGGAAACCAGAATTCAGAGGTGGAAATATCAAAACTCAGTCAACTCATTCACAATTTTACTACAAATCAATTGAATACCTTTTCTCAACTGGCAACCACATATAATCCATCAAAATGTTTGGTATATCATATTGGATGATACCTGTCTTTTCAGGAATGGTATGGCTTGCGATGCTCTTGGCCATGCTGTTGACCTGGGCAGTTGCAGATGGCTCACCAATAATTACACCTATGGATAATGGTCAAACTATTGCGTAAGTGGTTCTCTTTCTCGCCAACCTCAAGATGACTATTCTAACATTGTCATGCAGATATATCTCAGATATCGGAGCCCATGAACTTCAACCACTCTTTATTGCTATGGGTACCGTAACCATGGTTACTTTCAATATGGTCTTTATTGCGGAGAGATGGTTACGACACAATGGTCGTTTACATGGAAACACCTCTATCTTCCAAAAAGTATTATCGGGCCTTGCTATTGTCTTTTCCGTTGCAGGTGGAATCGGTTTGATCTGTCTTACATGTCTCAATGATGTGGACCACCACACTGCACACGACATTTGTCTAGCTATTTTTATGTAAGCTTCCTCCTCTCCCACCCTCACATGGAGAATGAACTAACAATTTATCAGCGGTGGTTACATCCTTTCTGCCATCTTCATCTGCTGGGAATACCAACGTCTCGGCATCCACTACCGTGAACACAGCGTCCTACGCATCTCCTTCTGGGTCAAACTTGCCTTCATCTTTGTCGAATTAGGTCTCGCCATCGGATTCGGTGTGTGCAACCGTAAATCTTGGTGGAACACTGCTGCCATCCTTGAATGGATCATCGCATTGATTTACACATTCTACGTTTGGAGTTTCGCAATCGATTTCATCCCAGCCATCAGAACAAAACATTACCAGAGCAAAGATACCGAAGCCGAGATGGCAATGGCGATGGATGTTGAGAGTAGACAGAGAGGGTATCATGGAGCTGCCGATGAACAAAGAGCGTATGGGAGTGCGGAAAGCAGTGGACACGGAAGATACAATCCTGAGCCTGTCGTTCCGGCGAGGAACTTCTAGATTCGTTGTTTTGTGAAGGAACGAATATGCATGATGACTTGTTTATACGAAAATACTAGAGATGTTAAGATTTCGAACCAGACGAACGAATGGAGGAATGTATCATAGAAAAATGGATAGATGCATTTTATACCCGGAGGAAGATATGGCATCGGTTGGAGTGGTTGATTTGGTAGCTGGCGCTTGGAGTTATGAAGCATTTATGATTGCATGCATGCATATATGGAGATTTGGATTAGAGTGAGCAAGATGCTTAATGTCGATAATGTTAGATGAGATGTAATTATGAATAAAAGTATATATTTATCCAAGATTTCCCTTTTGTGCTTAGGCGAGGTTGTAGTGGTACGGAGTATAGATAAGTGTCTATGTGAATTTATTTTTGCAGCGGATATAAAGTATATTAATGATTGGAAGAATGAGAGTTCATGATTTCCTGTACATATAGTTCCTCTACTATATTGTTGATTTTAACATACGTAGATATTCATCATATCATATATTATCAGGGGGAGAAAAGATATATTCTGAATACACATTCAAATATACATTCAAATGTATATAGGGGGGAGAATATACATATAAACATATAAATCACATATAGAAAAATATATATTCCGTTCACTTCTAGACTTTAAGTAGGGATGGATTGTTATTTATGTTTGTGTTTATTTATATTTATTTATACTTATTCATACTTATTGATGTTTATACTTATTTATACTCGTTTATACTTATTTATATGTATTTATTTTCCCTCTGTTCCTCTTCTCTTTGCGTACGAATGAGGGGATGGTGTAAGTAGAGAGGTGGGTAGGTAGGTAAGTGAATGGGTTATTGGTATTGGTATTAGTATTGTCTGGCTTTTGGGATATATTCTTGTGATTTTGGGATGGATTGAACGGGGTGAGGTTGTGGGTTGAGCGTTTAGATATATATGTATGCGTATATACTGGACTGTGTATTTACTGTTCTCTCCTCGATTTATTCGGGTATGATATAGTGTGATATATTGTGACACGATGATGGTTTCTTTATAGTATAATATGTTAGCCGTTACCTTTCACTCTTTGAATTATCGGTATTGCATTTAAAGTGCACTGATATTTTTTCAACCGTTGAGATGAGTGTCACGGTACGGATTCAATCTGGGATTGTAGGTTGTGAATTGTTGGGGATGGGTACATTTCTCAAAGGGGGGTTGTTGTGTGGAATTGGTAGGATTTTAAGGGATGCTTGGAGACGATGTCTTTATTGGGTGGTATTGTTGGATGGTATTGTTGGATGATAATTAGATTACATTTGATATTGGGAGAAGATGCAGCGTGACTCCTGTATGAGATCTCGAGATGAGAATCTGTGGTTATAGGTTCGTATTGAATAAGAAGGCGGACTTATCATGGTTACTTTACAAGTATGAGTGATCTTTTTAGCTGCCTGTGGGGATGATGTTGTTATTGTAGGTTCAGTTTGATAGATTGAAAGTTGTGGAGAGATTCAAGAGCTTGATATCATGGTTGCGATGAAGATACAGTATAGCGGACTGTTGATCAGTATCTGGAATCATTTTCTTTATCTTCGTGCTCCTACCACTGCGGTTGTTTTTGGGGTTCCTGCGATAGAATGCGATCAAGTAAAGAAAGGCATTAGATGTAAAATAATACACTTTCCTCCATTATTTCGTAGCTGGAATATCGTCTGCACAACCCCTATCTCTATCTGCTGAGGATATCTGTACTTATTCTCGATCAACTAGCTCGGAAGTCCCCCCAATCTCTGTTCTACCAATCTCTATTTTTCTGTTGCTCTCTTCTATCGAGGATATAGCAGGATGAACACACAGCAGGATTGTCATAGAATAGATAAGTAGGCATAGAAGTAAAGAAGATTGGCACCGCCATCGCCATATCCAAAACCACACTCTGCTTAAGCAGGCCCGAAAGCGCAATTAATACCTTAGAGTGGAAAGATTATATCCGGTAGCAACACACCTTTCAATCTTCGAATTACAAAGTTATCATGTTGCTTATAACCGATATCCCTACATCTTGCACAACCCTGTATCTTGCACACTTTTATTTCTTTTTATATAAATATTCTAAATTCAATCTATAATCAACAAATTATTATAGTCTCTTAAAACTTATAAAATAAATAGAATAATATATATTCTTTACTATAAGCTAATTAAAATATTAAATATATTAGTATGTAAATCTAAATCTTAATTTTAAAAATAACTATATAAAATTCTTTATATTGATTAATTTAATATTTTAAATGAAAAAGAATATATATTTTTTAGAAAATTATGAATTCTAATATATTTCAATATAGTTGTAGTAAATTCTTAATCGATTCGATCTATATAGCTATATAACTAAAAGATCATGCGATGTACCTATATCTGATTCTAATTGATTTTAAGTGTGTGAACCACTGTGTTGGCTACGGATATGCAACATATCGCAATGGCATTCAAATAGCCTCTGGATCTAAACAGATCCGAAGCGACTCACATGTATTCGATGCAGAAGCGATAGGAGTATGGCGTGGATTGGAGCACCTAATCACCACGCTCGAAGATCCCCCGAACAACCGGATCTGGATGTATATTGATAGTACATCGGTTATCTGGAGTATACATGGAAACGCACTGCCCATAACGCAATGGGTTTTCTATAAATATTACAAAGCAATAAAACAACTCGATATCAGGATAAAGTAATCACCTGGATATATAAAGATCGAAGGTAATGAGGAAGCAGATTGTTTAGTAAACACAGGCGTAATTGGGCTTATAAACCAAACAATTGATAAGCTACCAATAATTAGCGGGGTATGAACTGTCACGGGTTCAATACATAGTTATGTGGATGCCTTAGGCATCTGCCCTCCATATAGTCGGCGCCTCTTTGCCTCCTTCTTTACTTCTTGTAGAATATTATATATCTTATCTAGTATTTATTTCTTACATTGTAATAGTATATTCTATCTTACAAAAGAGTCTTGTTACAATAAGAGCAATTCGACTCTGAAAAGAAATTCTTTATTTCTGTTTTTATTTATTTAAAATAGATCTTTTTATAGTTTTTATAATCTTTTGTGCCTTTTGTGTTTATTTGTTTTCGCTTTTGTTTTTGTTTTTGTTTTTGTTTTTGTTTTTGTTTTTGTTTTTGTTTTTGTTTTTGTTTTTGTTTTTGTTTTTGTTTTGTTTTTGTTTTTGTTTTTGTTTTTGTTTTTGTTTTTGTTTTTGTTTTTGTTTTTGTTTTTGTTTTTGTTTTTGTTTTTGTTTTTGTTTTGTTTTTGTTTTTGTTTTTGTTTTGTTTTTGTTTTTGTTTTTGTTTTTGTTTTTGTTTTTGTTTTTGTTTTTGTTTTTGTTTTTGTTTTTGTTTTTGTTTTTGTTTTTGTTTTTGTTTTTGTTTTTGTTTTTGTTTTTGTTTTTGTTTTTGTTTTTGTTTTTGTTTTGTTTTTGTTTTTGTTTTTGTTTTTGTCTTTGTTCTCATCTTCGTCTTTATCTTATTCTTTTTTCCTATTATAACTAATATATCAAATACTTCGAGCATTAGTTCACTATTACTTGTTTTGTTTGAAACACTTAAAGCTGAAATCAATAATGCTTTTAATCAATAACAATGGATTATAGGAAAACTATTTAGTCTTTAGGATTATAAACTTTATAGTTTTCTTCTTTATTGATATAATACAAGATCAGTAGGATTACCTTAATTATTTATACAATATTATTAATTATATACTCAATTCATTTTTATTATTCAATAAATATTTAAATAAGATTTAACTATAAAGTATTTCCTTAAGATTACTATAGATAATCAATTAAATATTCAACTTTAATTAAATTAATTATTACAATCTCAATTTATACAAAACCTATCAGATGCTTTTATCAAGGTAGGGCTAGTTGACAATAAACTTCAAAGAATTCTAAGCCTTTTCGAGAAAAAAAGATAGAATTAATATTTTGATAAGAGAAATACACTGTTTAAAAATAAGACTTATAAATCTGTTGGATAATCGATTTGATTATTTTCAATACAAAAAGAAAAAAGCTTTTATATTTAATCTTTCTTATTGATGGCTGTATATATTAAAAGAGATTAATTAATATAAATAATATTATTAATAAAATCTCAATTCATATTATTAGTAACTCCTTTTTCAATAAGCTTGATAGGCTTTATATTTTAATCGATATAGTATACAAAGCCTTAATCTGATTTGATAAACTTAAGATAACCAACAAAATATTTTTTTCGGCTTTTTATATTCAATTAGAATATTTTGATATAATATATCATAAGCAACTATACGAGATAGTTATAGTAATAAAGACGAAAGTCTTTTATAATCTTCAATAACTATTTATGCAAAATTCCAATCCTTGTTCTCTTATTGATATTAATAATTAAAAGCAGAAGTTTGAAGTTTGGAATTAGAATCTATAGGAGAATGAGCATCTTTTGAAATCAAAAATGAATTCGAGTTTTATATAACCCTATACATTCCTAATTAATATATTATTTGTTATATTAGTATTATCTAATCTTATAGATTTCAATGCTTTCAAAATATAAAATCAATAACAAGAAGAGAAATATTGACTTGGTTTTTATCATTATTACAAAAAATCTAATTATTTGATATAAAATTATAATGCTAAAAAACAAGCGGATATACAATAAGCAACTAAAGGAGGCCCTGGATTTATAGATTCCCAAAAAGGTTTTGGTGGCTATAACTCATATCAAGATACTCTTATCAATCAAAATAATCAATACTCTAATTAATACCCTAACAATCAGAATGGATTTTATAATCAAAATGATTTCCAAAAATACAATTCTCGGGATAATTATAGTAATAACAATAATGCCTATACTACATTCTATTCTCAACAAAAAGACCATTGTTCTCTGTAAGGAGTGGCTGGTTTAATGGTAAAGTGATTCGTGCCCACTTTCCATTATTCATTTCGAACGATGTGCTTGATGAAATCTCTTCATATATATGGGCCGATCCTCATTTTATTGAATCTGTAGAGTGGGATTTGTGGATTTATAAGCTATATTATTGGCTACGATTGTATGAAGGAAGTTGTGATTCCTTTTTTCTTTTCTAGTTTTGATAGGAGGAGCTTTGCTTTATTACTGTTATGCCTCTTTACTTTGTTTGAGTGGTTTCAATTGTATTTGAGTGGTTACAATATGTCTTTCTCTTTCTTGGGATCTCAATATCTGATCGCTTGTTTCTAGTGGCTGCTGATTATCTCGCTCTTAAATAAGGCTTTATA